TAGCTCCAGTGGGCCGGGAGCAGGAAGCAGAGCTGGACTCCAAGGTTGAGGGGCTTTCACCCAGCCCCTAGAGCTGGGTACTTTGAACTTGGACTTAAAGCCTCCAAATTGTAAGAATAAATTCCTGTTTGTTAAGGCCATCCCATTTGTGGTATATTCCTGTCAGAGCAGCACTAGGTAACCAGAACACATGGTTTCTCCTGAGAAATCAGAGCTTATTCTTATTGGTTGCCCCTTGTAGGTAACTTTTCATTTTTCCCATGCTGCTTTCAGGATTCTTCCTTTGTCTTTGGTTGTGGTGAGTTTGATGATGACATGTCTGGGTGATTTTCTTTTGGGGTCTATCCTGTGTGGGGTTTGTTGGACTTCTTGAATGGACATAGTCTTATTTTTCATCATACCAGGAAAATTCTCTTCCAACAGGTCTTTGACAGTTTTTGTCTGTGATTTTATTTGTCTCTTCCTGTTCTGGAATTCTGATGACACATAGACTATTCTTTTGGTGGTATTCCACATGAACCTTAGGCTTTCTTCATTTTGTTTTGGTCTTTTTTCTGATTGATTGCTTTCTAAAGAAGTATTAAGGTATTTGGCTTCAATCTCACTAATTCTGTCTTCCATTGATTCAATTCTACTCCTTTGCTCATTCAATGTCTTATCTATTTCTGAAAATTTAATATTAATCTGCTGGATTTCTAAGTGCAGATTTTGTATCATTTCTAATTTTTCATTTGTTTTGTCATTTTGTTCTTGTACTGTCTTTGAAAATTTTTCTAGGGTTTTCAACATGTTTTCCTCAATTTTGTCAGTGTTTTCCATGATCTGTCTCTCAATTAATTGAAGGTGGGTACCTAACTATAATTCTTTTGAATTCCTTATCAGGGAGTCCAATGCTGCGTCTTCCCCAGGGATATGTTCTGGGTCTGTATCCTGGTACCTTGTTTCTCCTGCTGTATCTTGCTTCTTTGTGTGGACTGTGATGTTCTGTTGTCTCCAAGGCATTGTGACATTTTTGTGTTTATATTTAGTTGGTGATTGTATGTTGGAGTGACTTGCCTCACGATTTTTGTTTTCTTTGTTTTGTTTGTATGTTATCTACATAAGCAGGGTACTGTTCTGTGCTCCTCTGTTTGCTAGTGGGCAGCATTTATACACCAACTTTCTGTCTCCTTTCCTGTTGTCAGCCTCCCATATGTCCCTGCTGTCCTTGGCAAATGGCACCTCTTCTTAGGTCCTGTTTTTGTTCAGGTTTTTCCAGTAGTTGGTGCCTAATGCACATCTGTATCCTTCCTTTCAAAGCTCAGGGCTCCAGGATTATCTTCTGTATCTCTGTCAATTGGTTTGTCTTTTCTTTGTTGAAGAGGGTCTGTGGAGCTTGTCTGCCTATTCCCCCAGCTTACCAGAAGTCTCTACTTCACCATTTTTT